AACGAGCAAACAATGGCTGCCTAAGTTAATTGCAATAAAATAGCAACAAAGGCAACTATTTTTCATTAATTACAAATTAAACTTAGCGCAGAGTAATTTTCACAAATTTGCCATTAAAAAATAGTCTTTTTTCCTTAGCTAGAAACGATTTGTTGGGGGAAAACAAAGTAAAGCGAAAGCGATTAAAATCGCTGTATATATATTCATAAATCGATCGGAATAGTTTGCATATACATAGAAAACGTCAGCGGAGAGACAAAGTGAAAATTTCAGACGACATAATAAAAGTATTAACAGAATATTAAGTTGGAATATCTGGGCTTATTTATGACCCAACATAATGAGAAGTGAAACAACTTTTACTTTTGCTGGGACAAAAGCTATAGCAACACAAAGAGTCACAGATTCTTTTGAGTGAAACTTATTTATTTATTTTTTGTATCTCAGAGAAACTGTAAATTTTTGTGGAGGGGAAAAGGGAGGCATTTCATAATTCCAAACAAAAAAAAAAAAGGTGTGTGGGATGGCATGCATATATCCCTCATCTAGAACCGATTTCGCCATATAACCACTTTATTTGTCAACAGTTGACATCCGACTGTCGCAATTTTGTCAGCTCTCAATTTGTCAAGATTTTTTCGTAGGAAAAACCAAACAGGCAGCTGCCAAAAAGTGTTTTCTTGTACAAACACAGAAAATTGTTTAATCATTAAAGAAAAAAGACAAGAAATAAATATAATAAGCGACCTTATCTTTAGTCTAAATTTGTATATATCAACAAAGAAGTGATATCTTTTAAAGCAAATAAAGACAGAACAAGAAGACCTCTAAAATCGTATCTTATCACAGCGAGATATGTACATACACAGAGCGAAAGATTGGGGGCGATGTTAAGGTAGTACCCTGTTAATGAGGCAGTGTCAATGTTTGGCCAAAGCTTCCACAAAACCCAAGCATTGTTTTCCTCTACGCAATTTCATATTTTCATTTTTTATTATTTACCAGCAAGTCAATGTCGTCGTCAACACAACACAACTTTAAACATTACACAATAAAGCAGCTACAAAAAAGCAAAATAACAGCAGCAACAACCATTGCTGCTTGGCTTTTCATGCTTTTTAATGCCGCATTGTCATCGCATTTGTTGCCATTACTTGGATATATATATGCATATGTATGTGCCATATCTATATATGGAATTGTATGTAAAGACCCCACAATTGTTGCCAATGTGAATGTGAATGGGTTAATGGGGGGAGATGGTGCCACAGGGGGGCTAAAAATGGAGAAAGACGTGTGAGGTGGCACCCAGCACTTTGAAATATGATATGGTAAATGGAAAATAAAATGTAAGAATCACCAGAACCAAGGGGAATTACTTTTACTGGTGATAAATTCAAAGAAAGTATAGAAAATCTTGGAAGAAAATAATAATATTTATTATAAAAAAGCAGAAATGATAGGGAAACTAGAGATAAACTTGGGTAGAAAAGAAATTAAATCAATTATTTATTTAAAATATATGATTTAATACTTTTCTGTTTTACAAGTTCGTTTTTTACATTTCAGATAAATATTCTTAATAATTTCAATTAAAAAAAATTATTCATCGCTCTGTGAGGTAATTTTTCAGCTAGCATTGAAATTAATGGTGTCTTGTACCTAACCTACCCTTATCTTGATCTTTGGAGTGATAGCTACTCTGAAAAACACTTCTAGGAAATCCCTATCGAAGGCTACTTTCTCTCCTGCCACCCCGGATCTCTCTTGTTTACCGACTTCATTGATCTATCAGTTCCTAGACTTATCGGGCATGTAGGATCTCTCAGGCACTACCTGCTCTTATCTGTTGTATTTTAGGTTTCACCATATTTGCCTCCTTCTGCAGAGCATTTCCAGTTGTCTGGCGTGTGGGTTTTCCTACGTCTGGAGTTTTCCCCTTCTCACTCAGACTTTTCCCTCTTGTGTGGGCATTGTTGCTGGCTTTTAATCAGTCTGAGGCCTGACATAATCGTCATCATCCTCAACATCATCATGGTCATGTGGCCTTTGTCAAAGAGCAACATAAATATATACATATATTCTTCTTTTTTTATACTTTTTTTTCTCGTTTTTGCAAAATGCAAAATGGATATCCGGTGCTGGTCGTTCCAAGAAGGAAGTGCTCGCGGTGGCTTTAACAATTGACTAACTGAACGATTGACTAAATGACGCAGAACCACAGGCCATGAATCACTAAAAAATACAAGAGTGGCAGACAGAAAAGGAGTCTTTTCATTAGCAGTTTTTCTCTTCTCCTCGCCTCCATTATTTTTTTCCTTTTTTTTCAACCCATTAATCGTCGGCCATTATGCAAGACACGCGCCTCCAGCTCAACTGCAATCCATATGCATTATTTCAAGGGGGATATATATACAGGAAGGGGGGTATATAGTACCAGGTATAGGAGTTACCTACACCTCTGCACCACTGATCGTTAGTTACATGGCAGCCATTTAAGGGCAGACAGTCTTCGAGTGGCGACAAAAAGCGAAAGCGTTTCTGAGAGACCTTGAGGTGGTTTCTTCAACTCGTTCTGGGTTTCAGAATTCTCCAACCTCTTTTGAGTGCACAGAAAGAAATACTGGGATTTTAGGGTAAATGAAATATTCTTTTGCATTTAAAATTCTCAATTACAAATTACTTCTTTCTGTATTTCAAAGTGCACACGCAGCAGGAGCCGTTCTCAAAACGTTTCAAGTGGTTTCCTTGGCGGAATTAGCCGGGGGAAACCTTGACATCAAACGCAGCGAGAAATTTCCCCAGCTGATGTGTAGGCATCGAAAGTATCTGGCAGATACACAAAGGGACACAGCCAGCACATGTGTGTGTGTGTGTGGAATGCTTACGAAATCGAACGCAGAGAGGGCGGTGTGAGTTGAAGATACAAAAGTATCTGCTAAGCAAGCAGCGAAAGTTTGTTGCTTTTTGTTTTCAGCGTCATCATCATCATCATCTGTATCTTCAGAGCAGACTGAACGGGGCCCCAAAAGATAACACCAGAGTGTGTGTTGTGTGTGTGTGTGCTTGAGACCGCAAATAAATAAAACAAAATGAATTAAATGCGGATAAAATAGCTCAAGAGATAAAGGAATGTACAATTCAATTCAAGGTGGCGATAACAATTTTGGGAATTGGGGAATCCGAGATGGAGAACAAGGCTGAAAACCTCAATTGGAGCGTGCGATCTATCTGTGAGGTTGGCGAAAGTTGTGCAAGCCAACAACAGATACACTCCAAGTGTATCTTCAAGACGCGGAGACCGGGAGAAAGAAGCCGGGGTAGAAGTAAAAGTGCGTAGGTAAAAGCTCTCGACTCCGAGACCGGAGAATGCGGCTAATGGCCATAATGATGATGAATGCAATCACCAAGCAGCACAATCACAATCTTAGACTCAATCACAATCAACAGCCCAATCATCATCGGTGTTCCCTAGACCCGAGACCAAAACTTGATTCCGCTTTCGCTGCAGAGAGGCTGCTTTTGCTTCTGCTTCTGCTGCTGCGTGATTTATACGAAATGTGTCAACTTGGGGTCTTCTTTTGTGCTTTTCCAATCGAACACCAAACGATTCTCAACTTTCTAGGTAGCCGGCAACAATTTGTAGGCACTGTCTTGCGACATGAAAATTACACAAAATTACAAAAGCATCGCTCAACACATGTGTTATCAGCGAGGCGTTCGGAGTTGACTTTATTTAAATTAAGCAACTTAAAAGCAAACAACGAGAGAGAGAGCAAGAACCAAGTCATGTGTGAAAGAGCCGCCTTTTTTTTATGGAAATTACATTAAAACGCGAGCGTTTTTCATTCAGCTTTATATTTTTTGGTATTAAAAAGAGCCATATACGGTGGCGGTTGATGTTGATAAGCTGCCGCCGATCCCCATCGAGAATGGTCCCAGAACAGAGCCCACAATGGTTTTGATGGGGCATTTCAAAAAGACATTATCGAGGGCATTAAAAAGGGGGAATTAAAGTGCAACCAGCGACTCTAAAACTTAAAGTTCGAAGATCACTAAAGGCTTGCAGCTCAGTGGCTTTGAAACTGACAAATCTTTTGATTTTTCCTTATTTCAATATGTAAGTTTTTCTTTGTACTTTGATATCTGCTCTATAAATAAGTAATTTTATTTAGAAATATTATTACCATAAATTTCCAGTTAAATATAAGATTACAGAATGTTTTATAAATCATATTAACTATATAGATTTAAATTTAAACCTGCTGAATTATCGTTTCGTTAAGCTTTATTTATTATTTCGAAACATAGGCCCTGAAATCGATTCTGTAATTTAGGTTTTAATTGGCTCAATTCCTGTTTAATAATTAGCTGCCCATTCTGCTAATTAAACCGCAAATTAAAATGATTTATTTTTGGTTAAAAAGGGGAAGCAGCCTTGTATTTAACACCCACAAAAAGTGCTACAACACGTTTGTGACTAACCAAAAATAATGCTAAAAAATAAAGAGAACAACAACAACGACAAACAACATCAATTACAAACGCCCAAATTGCATTTAATTAATGGAAATGTATCCGCAACGTAAAGTGAGGTTTTTGTTGTCACAACACCGAGTTTAGGAATCGAAATTGGTATTGGAATTTGAAATGGGCTCAGATCGGATAGGGGATCGGGTGATCTGGTGTATATACAACCCACACATGCACGGAAAAAATATAATTTAAATGTGTTTACAATATTAATTATAATTATTAAGTATATTTTAAAATGTTTTTAAACATTATTAAGTGTTTTAAAATATTTTACAATTTTTTTAAATATTTTTAACTGTTTTTAAAATATTTGTAAATAGTTTTAAATATGTTTAAATACTTGTAAATATTTGTAAATATTTTTAAATATTTGTAAACATTTTTAAATATTAGTAAATATTTTAAAATAATTTTTAAATATTTTTAAATATTTCCTTAAAATTTGATATAATTTTTATGTGTACCTCGCGATTGTTGTTGTTGTTATTATTGTTGATGTGATTGTTGTTGCTGCTGTGCTGCTGCTGCTGATGAGCGTTGCTGCTGCTGCTGTGATGATGGTTGTTATTGGTGTTGCCAGTATTGCTGGATATAGAACCCGATATACGCGATCCGGGTGAATCGCGCCATCTCAATACCCCCATGACGGCCTGACGCACCCAACGTCGTTCGGCGCCTTCGCTGTAAAATGCCACTGTTGTTGCTGTTGCTGCTGCTGCAGTAGTTACTGCAACTGTTGCTGCTGCTGTTGCTTTTTCAAAAATTTAGTTTATGACTGCATTTAAGCCCTTTTGCAGAGTCAAGAAGTCACCGAACTTGACTTATAAATATATCAATACTGGAAATGCTCTTTATCGCAGCATTTATTTTAAGTTAAATCTTGGGTTTTTTTTGTGATGTTTTTTTTTTAAGTAGAAATTGCAGTTTATTTAACTCAGCTTATCAGTGCATTTCTTTCTTAGAAGTTATTGTTAATGATGCTTTCTTTTCTTGCTAAATATTTTAGATATTGCTGCTGCTGTGGTAAAGCCTTTGATTATCTTGGTATTTGCACCTTTTTTAAAGTTTTTCGAGACTTTAAAGTGCTGTTTTCCCCCAGGTGTTGCAGCTGTTTTCGCTGTTGCAATTTCTGGTGTAGACGCTGCTTCTTAGAACTGCCTTTGTTACCTCTTCAAGGGTTTTACTTCTCTTTTTTTTTCGCTATGGTGGGCGTTCTTAGATCAAATTACTATTTTTTCTAGATGCTGCTGCTGCTGCAACTTGGCTTAGAAGGTCTTCGAGGGTTTTTTCCTTTAAGAAGGCGTTCTCAAAGATATATATTTTTCCCTTTGGTAATTGTTATAATTTTTAGCTGGGCTTTGCTTTCGGCTGATTCGCTCACACACAAAAATAACGATATATTTTTTTTTATAAATATCTCTCTTTTTTTACGAGTTTTTGACGCGATATTTTGCCTGTTTTTTGCGCTTGCCTTACCCGTTTGACGGGTTTTTCGGTTCGCGGATTCCAGTGACTGTCAAACCGCGGCTTATATGCAAATATCGGGGGCTTTCAAATTTTCGGCCAACCGAATTTCTAAGCAAATAATTTCACTGGGATCCGGGCTCATGCATATATCAAGTATATATATATATTTTTTTTATGCGTGTTATTTTTGTAAATGCACCGCACAAACACACACACTGAATGCACGCACAATATACAGATTTTTATACACCGCTGCAGTTTGGTTTATTGCACTCACAAAATCGGTTTTTCGGCTTTCGGTTTTATTTCGGTTCCATGGAGAAACCGAGAAAAAAAGATCGGATCCTTCTTATTTTTAAAAATAACTCGAAATGCGTGCGCTCGTTGGCCGCTGTTTTTGTTTTGAATTCGTAACGAACAGAAGCACGAGGGCGCGGGAAAGATTTTCGAGGGGCGAGTTCAACACGTCTGGTTGCGGCAACGGAAAAACGGCAACTGAAACATGTTCAATGCTCAACGCTCTGCCTTCGCCGATGTCGCACAGTGGACGCACAGTGGGACGTTTGCTGGGAATTAGTGCCAGTTCAGGGGAACTCAAGAAGTCGGGTGAGGTTTTGCTAGAGGTTATTGATTATAATTAATTAAACTAGGGCAATCTTATTCTTTTATTCCTTAAAACATTGTGCTATAAGTTTATTCTTTGTTACTTTATTTATTAAAAAATGTTTTTTTTTTAATTACCACAAATTTGAATTACAAATATTTTGTTTTAATATAGGAGATATTGCTATTCTATTCTAAACTTTACTATTTGTATTTTATACAATTAAATAAACTAGTTAACATAAGTAGTTGTAAATCAATTGGTTCCACTGTGCGCTGCCGCTGCTTTAGTCAAGCGAGCTCTTGAAATGTAAGTAAGGAAGAAAGAAACACGACTGTGAAATACCTAGTATCTTTAGTAATCTATATTTATAATACATATATGGTTTTAAGAAGCAAAGCCGTAATAAGTAATTTAAAAGATAAATTAATAGAAACAAAAAATTCATTTTATTTATTAATTATTTTTATAAAAATATATTTATTTAATTTTCTTATTTGCCTGTTTCATAAATTCTTAGTTGACACCAAGCTAATATACCCTTTTACCCCATGGTTACTGGGTATTAATATCCAAGCTTGGCGTTCAATTGGAGCAGCATAAGCCAGAATGAGACAACTATAATTCGCAGAGAAAGAGAGAGCTGCCTGCTGATGAAGAGAGAGCATGCGTGGGAGCTAAGAGGGCGCCAATTTTGAATTGAGTGTTTATATATTTTTGCTTGTTGATAAATAATTGAAAAAATAAATAGCTGTAAGTATCCTTCAGGTGAAAAAAAGTACTTTTTCGAAAAATGAAATGTTTAATTTATTTAATATTTTTACTATATTTAAAAGGTTTTATTTAACATTATAAATATTATATACTAACACACTATATTATTTGTTTCCCTAATACTTAAACATTTACATATTTCCATCAATCCAAGAATTTCCCCGGATAGCTAGGGGACATATTGGCCTATGCGTGGTCCCACGAGGATCGTCCTGATAAACCTAACCTAATAAACATTTATTTTTTTAACGTATAAATTTGTTTAATCATAATAGCATGACCTAATATTTCTATTTATGATTTATCGCAAAATATAAATTATTAACGAGAAGAACAATAAATTAGCGATGAAGTCATATTCAAAAATTAATAATTTTAATCATCACACATTTAAAGATTAAACTAACCCACAAAGGAAAAGCACAAAATGTTATCGAGATAAGCTTTACTCAGAACAGAATTACATATATTTTATCCCTATTTCATTGGACAAAAGCCCCCCATTTGCTTATTGTTCTTTTTCCACCCCCTCTTTACTATATAAACTAACCGAATTTATGATTCCTTCTAGCCTGACCTTGGCATTCGAGACTTTAAATCTATCGTGCTATGAACTACAAACTATATATAGTTTGATATGGCATAGAGTCTTTGGAGCGGAGCAATCAACACGTCCGTTTATAAACAAAATGTGACCAGAAAAGAAGTGAAAGAAGAATACAAACTATTTTTGTTTAGTTTGGTTGAAGTGCACAACAAAGAGCTAAAGATATAACAAGAAAGGTGGATGGATAATAACTTTAACTAGCAAAAGATAGAGTAGTTCGTGGAAATTATAAATATATTTAGTTAAAATATGGATAATCAAGATGGAGAAAGATAGATACTTCAAGAGCATATTAAAGATGTCCCAAGACTTCATTGAGGTACTAAATACTTTTATATACTTTTAGAACTAGATACATTTTGTATTAGATACTTTTAGAACTAGATACTTTTTGTTCTAGATACATTTTGTCACCAGAAAAACTCCTAATAATTGAATGTTTATTAAAGAACTTTACTGAGGTACTAGATACATTTTGTACTAGATACTTTGGTACCAGATACTTTCCGTACTAGATACTTTTTGTTCTAGATAAATTATGTCACCAAAACAACTCCTAATAATTTGTAGTGCAGTTAGATGTCTCGTTTAATCTTCGCAATTTGATGGATATTAAGTCTGAAAGATAGATGGACAGATAGACGGATCGCTGGCTTCCAGAGCGCTTCTCTTCTCATGGTTAATTGGTTATGCCGCCGAGCCCGCATCTGAGATCCGAGGCAGAGCTTTAAATTCCATGTGAAAGAGTTTTAAGTTGCGGTTTGCTTTGCCTTTATTATTACTCGTATTTTTTACTTTACTTTTTGTATTTTTTTTTATGTGGCCGTTGGTTGTGTCTGTCTGCCTGCCTGTGTTGCCGCTGTCAGCTGGCAATCAACAACGAAGTCAGCGAGGCAGCAACAAGGTAAACATCACTGGAAAAAGGGGAAAATGGTGGAAAACCGGGGGAGGAAACTCCGAGGAGTGGGAGGATGACACAGCCCTAGGTTAATGTCAGAGATCCGCCAAAAAAAAAATAAAGAAGCCAGGCCAAAGGAAAATATTTTAAAGCTGCATTGTTCGAACAAGGAGAAAAGAAGAGGAAATTAAAAAGCCACAAATGAGTAACGGAAAGATTTCCACATGGCAAAGTTGAGTTGCAGAGTTAGACAGAGTCAGGGAAAATTTAAAGAGAGAGAGATAGAGGGAGGGGACAGACCGCATGCAACAAGCGGAAAATAATTATAAATTTTAAGTGCCCCGGTGCAGGAGTGATAGGGACGGTTTCAAACTATGAGTATCTTTTTCGGTTTGCTTGGTTTTTTTTTGGGATAATTTACAGGCCTGCGGTACGGATACGTGTAGGTAGATGATATGGCGATAAACATCGCACTTCTCTGACTTAGAATTCATACGTGAGTGAGTGTGTCGCCCTCTTGACACTCGAAAAAATATAGTTTGATTCAAGGAATTTTGTTGTAGGTATTAAAAGTAAATATAAATTTATTATTATTATTTTTTTAAAGTTAGGTTGATTTTTATTAATTATTTATAATTATTCAAAAATAATTTATTATCAATACTGCTAAAAATTGCATTACACCCAAGAAAAGCGCTCTTAATATTTTATTGCCTTCTTTTAAGCACCTTTAAAAATTTATTTTTTATGACCAGCGATTTCTCTGGCCCTCCTCCTTTTATATAGTATTTTTTCTCACTGCATCTGCTCTTTCTATCGCCGTTTCTCCGCCTGTGATTATGCAGCTCACTTCGCTGGCGCTGACTGTGGGAGTAGGCTGCTCCGCTCAGGCCTCAGATCTCCGGTCTTTTTCGACCACGGTCTGCACTCGAAAGAGACAGCAACTGAGGCGGAGAAAGAGAAGGAGACTAAGACGGCGATAGACAACGCCGACGTTGTCGTTGCGGCTGACGACCATTGCAATTAACAACTTCAACGTTCGTTGCATTCGCTGCGAGTCAAGTCCAAAAGCAACTCTGAGCTGCCAAGGGAAGCGGAGAATCGGGAGAACCGGAGAATCCGGGGGTAGTGGCTAGAGGAAGCGAGTGAGACAAATTGCACAAACTGAGACAAAGACATAAGAGACTTCTAATGTGTGTGAGTGTCTGAGCAGCTAAAAGCGAGGGCCCGTGAAAAATATGCAAGAAACAAGCAGAGCAACCGAAATGAAAATGGCCAAAGTATATTTTTATAATGGGAAAGGAAGGGAGAATTAGGAAGAGAGAGAGAGCCAACATGTTGGAGGCGGTGCAGGGAGCCAGGCATAAATTTCCAGCGAATCTTAGATGGCGGAGGGTTCTCCTCCATAAAACAAAAGACCCCAGATTTCCGGCTTCATGGGAACGAAAGTAACAAAAGGTGGAAAAAGCAGCCAACAAAAAGCTGGCAAAAATAGTGCAGGGGAAAATATATGCATATCTTTAGACTCTTTAAACAAATACAAAACAAAACAATTAATTAAGGAATTAATATATTTGAAAAATATTTATAAAGTTGATGAAATGTTCAGCATTTTATAAAGAAATTCTGCCAGAGACTGTTGACATTTTATAACAAATTTTAAATACATTAAAGTTTAAGAAAATTGAAAGTAAAATATTATAAAAATATTAATATTAATATTAGGGTACCAAATTCCAAGTATTACTTCTTTTACTTTTCAGAAGTTCTAATTTTATAGCATACTTTCTGGCCCATATTTCGATTTTTAAGACATTTAAATATAAATAAATAAATGGCATTAAACATTACCTAGTTATCATTAAATAGTATAAACCCCCTTTATTTTTTATATATTTATATCGTCAGTCTTTATTTTTTTAGTGCATAAAAGTGGCAACCCAAAACAACTGGTATTTGGGCAGCTTAATTAGCCGCCAAGGACGACGGCGACGGGGTGCGGAAAAAAGGTGGCGTCGGAAATTTAAACATGCCCAACGCAAACCTTTATTAGCCCCAAAGTATGCTGGGGGGAAAAAAAGTGCGAGAAACTATGCAATGGGGAGCATAGATACGCAGGCGAATAAAATAGTGAACCGAAATGGAGTAAAAAAAAAAAAGAAAAGCAGAGGGAAAACCATACCCAGAGGCATGCCAGGGTCCATGAAAATATGCATAGTGAGGAAAAGTCTCACACTCACACATACAGGAATGCCATTTTCCCCGGCGGCACGTGGCCCAGCCTCGCAGTTTGACAGCCACTGGACCTGACACCAAATTCAATTTTCTCAACTTGAGCAAACATAATTTTCATTCGAAAAGAACAGGGCCAACCCAGTTTTACCTCAAGATTCTAGGCGAGACTTTTAGCCAGACTTCATCTTCTCCCCCTCTAGACCCCTTTTGCGAGAAGAAGGCCTGCATAAAAGTTTCCTGGCACAAAAAGAGGCACTCGAATGCGGATGAGAAGAGGCTGAGTCTTGGGTCTAGAGCCTCGAGTCTCGAGTCTTGAGAAAATGTGGCATATATGCGCCGGCTTCAGGGATGCGGGTTGCACTTTAGCTGCTGCGTTGCAACAACCACTTGTG